CAAAAACAAGACTGGGAGCTGACTGTGGCTCAGATCATGAACTCCTTATTGCCAAATTCAGACTTAAACTGAAGAAAGTAGGGATAACCACTAGACCATTCAGGTATGACCTAAATCAAATTCCTTATGATTATACAGTGGAAGTGAGAGATTTAAGGGACTGGATCTGATAGAGAGCCTGATGAACTATGGATGGAGGTTCGTGACATTGTACAGGAGACAGGAATCAAGAGCATCCCCATGGAAAAGAAATGCAAACAGGCAAAATGGTTGTCTGAGGAGGCCTTACAAATAGCTGTGAAATGAAGAGAAGCAAAAAGCAAAGGATAAAAGGAAAGATATTCCCATTTGAATGCAGAGTTCCAAAGAATAAGAAAGGACAGATAAGAAAGCCTTCCTCAGTGATCAGTGCAAAGAAATTGAGAGTTATGTTTTATTTTCTGGGAATTTTTAGGATTTCAAGCCTGGAAGACAGCATCTCAAGTAACCCTGAAAGAACTGTTCCAAGCAGGCAGGGGAAGGAGTCAGGTTATATCAAAGTGTGCAACAAACATCAAGGATTATTGTGAATTAAGGAAAAGGAGGTATCTCAAATTAAGGAATATAGCACTCTTCTTTGTATGGGAAGATACAAATATCTAGGTACACTGAAATCACTCCCTTCATACGCATCTCGGCTATCTGGGGCCAGCACTCTGCTTCGGGTTTCTCACGGCCTTAGTCCCGCCTGCACACTCACCGCAGTGTAAGCAGTCGCAGTGGCTGGACTGCAGGCAGTGCTCTCCGTTTGAGAACACTTGGGGCTCAGACATTCACACCCGGAGCCCCAAATCATCGATGGCTGCAACATCCTTGTTTACTGATATGGCAGGAAATACTCCATTTCACATCTTGAGAGTATTTCAAATTCAAAAAAGGAGGGAAAAGTGGATTGTTCACTGATTATAGGAACACATAACTGCTAGAACTTGTTTTTAAACTTGTCTCTATTGATCAATGACAATTTTGTATTGGGACCCACATGTGGTACTTCAACTTAAAAGAACAGTATGTTCGGTCTTTGTCCCAGTTCCTGACACAGAGCTCCTAAAATCCTTGGGATTTCTCTAAGTGAACAGAAATTATGGTGTCTTTTATTATGTCAATGAGATGCCTTTTAGAAAGTCCCTAAAGGGCCTGCTTGCCAGGGGATCCAGCCCTGTGATTAAGAGGGTTGGAATTTCCAGTCTAAACCCCTCATCTCCAGAGAAGAGCTGGAGATTGCATTCAATCACCAATAGCCAATGATTTAACCAATCAGGGCTGTTATGAAGCCTCTTTAAAAACTCGAAAGGACAGACTTCAGAGAGCTTTCATGAACACGTGAAGATTTGGGGAGAGTGGTGCACTCAGGAAGCATGTGAGCTCCATGCCCCACTTACCTTGCCCTTTGCGTCTCTTCCGTTAGGCTGTTTCTGAGTTACATTCTTTTATAATAAACTGGAAAAGGAAGGAAGGGGCTTCCCAGGTGATGCAGTAAAGAATCCACCTGCCAATGCAGGAGACACAGGTTCGATCCCTGGGTCAGAAGATCCCCTAGAGAAGAAAATGGCAACCACTCTAGTATTCTTGCCTGGGAAAACCCATGGACAGAGGAGCCTGGAGGGGATACAGCCCATGGGGTCCCAAAAGAGTCCGACACAACTCAGTGACTAAACAACGACATTGGAAGCGACTATTTCTCCAAGTTCTATGAATCACTATAGCAAATTAATTGAACCTAATGAAGAGCTGTGGGAGATTTAGCAAATTATAGCCGGTTGGTTAAAAGCACAGGTGACAACCTGGACTGGAATTGGCATTTGAAGCGCGGTAGGGGTGCTGTCTTGCAGGACTGAGCCCTCAGTCTGTGGGATCTAACACTCTCTCTGGGTAGATCATGTCAGAACTGAACTGCTTGGTACTGTTGGAAAACACCCACACACCAGACCATGCCTTTGGAAGCAGCCCCAAACTTCTGAAATTGACTAATTAGCAATAAATAGCCTTACTCCAGTGACCTCAATTCCTTGACTGATGCTCAACAAATCCCTAAAATGCCCACTTCTGAAAAATTGGCCAAACCTGAACTCCAGTTTCTCCCAAACTCTTAACAAAATTAGCAGGAGAAGGGCACCAGTAAGTCCATCAGAGAACCCAGCAGCGCACAGAGAGCTTACACGCCTCCATCCTCCTCCAGGCCAACTCTCTCCACACAGTGCGGGCACCCCAGCAAATTCTGAGTAGAGACATCCACCTGAGTTTACACCTCGGCTCCCCCACCTTCCAGCTATGTGACTTAGGACAAGTCACTCAAACGCTCTGAACTTCAGTTTCTTCTACGTATGTATTTCCAGGAGATCAGGAAACAGCACATGGTCTGACTGGCCGCCTTCTCTTCCAAAAGGAGCTACATGATGTCATTAAGTCAACAACTGGCCTTCTCGACTGCATCCCTCGAATCCAATACAGCCTGCTGGTGACCAGATCTCAAAACAAAAATCTACATATAAACACTTGACAATGGTGTGCTAAAGTAATGATAGTCATTGCGATGGACTAAAAAGACTCTGCCACCTCCGCTGGTACCTTTGTGCACACTGCTGCACCTCGTTAGGGACAGTCCTTGGGTGAGTCCCCGTAATGCCCAGCTCTCCAAAAGGAACACTCGGCTCCAAGTGAGTCAGTGTCCTTCCGGCCTTCCATGTGTAACTGATCAGGTGCCACTTACACCCAATCAGCATAAGACCTTTCATCCAGAGGTCCTCCCTAATTCTTCAGTCTGTTGATTTTCTATTTATCCCAGTCCCCTCTCTGCACGCTTATAAAATTGAATTCTTATGTTCTCAATTTCACATAGGAATTCTGCCTCAACATACAATTCAAGTTAATAAAGACAATGATTAAACTGAGAATCTGAAAATCAACCTTGATGGGGGAGTAATAAGGTTTGGAAGGATTTCTGAGCACTTTAAGACATGCAGAATAGGTTATTCAAAGCCATCTAGTATTTTAAGGAGTGATTCTGGGAACTTAGGTGATGAAGTATTAGTTGCTCAGTCATGCTCAACTCTGCAACCCCAGGGACTGTAGCCCACCAGGCTCCTCTATCAATGGAATTCTCCAGGCAAGAATACTGGAGTGGATTGCATTTCCTTTTTTTCCAGAGGATCTTCCCGACCCAGGGATCGAACCCGGGTCTCCTGCATTGCAGGCAGATTCTTTACCGTTGTGAGCCACAGGGAAGCCCTACGTGACAGGATAACCCTTGTCCAAATCCTACTCTTGAGGTGGGATATGTAGGAGCCAACAAGTAATAAAGGCAAAATAAATAACAGGCCATCAAGAGGGAACAAACCCTATGGCTTTCAAAATACCATTAGAAGTTAGACCAAAACTCTGGTGAGTTAGTTCGCCGGTAACAAGTACAGCTGCAGCTCTCTTTAATCATCATACATTTATCCTAAGACTTCTACAGAACACCAGCTTGAATTTCAGATATTCAAATCAGGCAATTCTGAGATGTCACTGCTGGAAAGTGTCAGAGGAAAAACCAATCCTCTTCAGCATACTTTCTCAAGGCCAGAGTTCTTCATAATCTACTCTCCAGGGAGTGACTGCAAAAGAATTTCCTTTAGAGGACTGAATACATTTCTTCGGGAGAAGAGATTTACATTTTAAATGATGTTTTAAAAAAATTTTCCATTTAATTACTACAGTCAATTTTTGTTTTTCAGTTTCCAATTATTATTCTCAGCACAGGCTACTTACCATAATTTCTCAGCAAGTACACTTCTATAGATGGGATGGTTTTATTTTTTGTTAAGGCAATTGAAGATAAATGTTAGGAACCAATTCAGGGGGGTAAAAAACCCAAAGTATTTTCTGTTGAATGTGCCAGAAGTGGTGAACATGCCTTATTTTGGAATATCTCCTGCACCACAAGCTTAGCTTAGGTACACAGGGCCAGAAAGCTTGATGCACTGTTTGCTCACATGATAGGTTTCTTTCTTCTTTCCTTTCTAGCTATAACAAAGTTCCAAGGGCAACTGTTTTCTAAAGAAATCACAAAAGCTTTTCTCTAAGCTTCTGCCTAAAAGTTATTCTTCTCATCAGAATTTGGGGAGAACATTCAAATGAGTCACTTTAGTATGATGTAACCACGTCACCACATCATGGGAACTAGGTCCTGCCTTCCTATAGGTTCAAACAAATGAAGAAAGTTCAGAGGGAACCGTTTCCCACCTCACTTTTGTAGCCTTGGGGCTGACTCGATGATACATGAAACACTTTTAAACTACCTTGTGTGCAGTGCTTAGTCGCTCAGTCGTGTCTGACTCTTTGTGACCCCGTGGACTGCAGCCCGCCAGGCTCCTCTGTCCGTGGGGATTCTCCAGGCAAGAGGACTGAAGCGGGTTGCCATGCCCTTCCTTCTCCAGGGGATCTTCCCATCAGGGAGAGAACCCAGGTCTCCCGCACTGCAGGCGGATTCTAGTCTGAGCTACCCAGGCAAGTCTAAAACTACCTTAAGGGGTTTCATAGGAGAAAGCCAGAAAAGAGAAAAATAAACAAATCAGTTCTGAAACCAAACACAAATAACTCTTTTATTTATGGGGTATCATTTTACATCAATTCCATTAAAACTTAAAACCAGTTTGCTGTACTCAAGTTAGGTGGCATAACAATATTTCAGTTAAGCTGGGAGTCACAGGACTTGCACACGTTTATGAAGGTGATGCAAATACTGAGGACACGAAGCATTCACAGTTACAGGTTAGCTGCAGTTCACCGACAGTAACCCCGAGAAATGACCTCATGAAAAGAAGCAACCCACATTTTGGTCTCATTTACAGACACCCAACAGTTTAGTTGGTCAATGGATTCTATACATTTATTATACAACATATGAAAGAATAAAAGATAAGGCTTACAGAGGTATTTTAGCAGTTGTAAGAATAAAAACCAAGGGCACAAACTATCTTTTAAAGCTTTCTGTATAAACTTCAAAAGCACTGTTAAGATGGAGACTGAGAGGCAACAGAAGTCTGTTGTTAATCCAGATCCTAGAAGTCTGTCTAGTCAGCTTTACAAAAACTTAGTTCAGAGGTCATGCTTCGAATAAGCTGCACGTAACATTATAGAGGATGATTATGGCAAATCAAATAATGCAATTTCCGACCTACCGCAACAGTAAACATCTAAAAGTTGGGTTCCATTATCACACAGTATTGCAACGTGGAGGCCAAAACACAACAGAAAGAGAGAAAGGGTGGAGATGTAGGTGATAAAGAAAAACCAGAAAAAGGCACCCTCATTTACTTAGCATTTGCCCATAAATAAGTGCTTGGTGACTGCTCAACTTATATAACTCAGGGAGATTTTCATGAAAAAATATCTTATTACTTCTGGCTCTTCTTCCCCTTAAAAATAACTGCATAAAATCACAGAAACCAAGGGCAAGCACGCTGCAGTCACAGAGATTTATTTTTCAAGGGAATTCAGAGATTATTTGGCCTCTTCTAATAGGCAAGATCATCCTTTTGGAATACTTACTTCCATGTTACACATCATGAAATAATTTTTGCTTGGCTTTTCCAAAACCCCTGTCATCAAAATGTTCACTATGTATTAAAATGTAACATTTTCCCTGTAGCCATACTCTTATTTTGGGATTAACTGTGCTTACTGTTAAAAAATTCTCCAGTTTCTTACAGTAGCTTTCAAAATAATTTTAATGATGATTTCTATTTGCTTTAAACAAAACTAGAGTCGATCAAATTTAAGAACTGCTGCCTTTAAAGTGTGATTTGTTAACTTCATGGGACCCTTTTGAAAATGAATCAAGTTCTCCACAGATCGGAACCTGCCTATAGCCAACTGCCAATGGAGTTAATAGGCACCCGTCGGAATGGAAGCCCTTTCAACACACTGGTCTCAGGAGCTGTGCTTGCTGTCAACGTCTTCTGTTCTTTTCAGGGATGAATTTGTGCAAACTGGTGTGAATGTGTAAGGTAGAAGGGGAGTCTACAGCTTCTAAACAAGGAATGATAAAGTATGCTTAATCACTACAGAGTTTTTCAAACTTCTGGTTTATTTCACAGCAAACCAAACCTTTCTATTTGGTAGAAAAAGGAAATGAATTTCATTCTACCAGGTCATGGTTTTGTATACGCACACACACTGTATATACATACAAAATTCCTGTCTTTGGTGGTTCACTTAGGGAAAAAAAAGGTATGAAAATCTGAACACTGTTTGCAAAGAAACTGAAATCATAGTCAAACAGTAGCATCGTCTGTGTGCTTTACTCATAATGCCATTTAAAGGTTCACATTTGACCCAAAAGGTTTTGGGGCCAGGTTTTGAAATAATCTGAACCTCTTCCAACTGGCACATGTTCAGTCATGGATTCTGCTCACAACTATGCATTCACTTGCTCAAATGCACCAGTAACTTTCACTTCGTTTAAGTCATTAGCCTACTGTGTTCTCACAAAACTTTAGGGACTAAGTTAAGTCATTCAATAGCACCAGAGAGTTGAGGGAGAAGCATGTTTTTTATACATTTCCTTGAGAAGGGTTAAGACAAGAAAAGAAAAAAAAAAAAAAACACATAAAATACAAACCTAAAAATACCGTCCCGTTTGCTCCTGTTTCCTCACCCACATAAATAATGGCTATCACCTCTCTGTACATATTACTCAGGTAATGACGAGCGGCCCCTCCAGGAAAGGTCCTACCGTGTAATAGAGTTTTTAGCTCAATGCTGGTGGTGTCGTGTCCACTGCCTGCAATGGACATTCTGCCAGGAAAAGCCTAGCATGAAAGAAACAAAAAAAGGAAAACAAAACAAAACACCTCTCACTTACAGTATAGTTCTTCCCCCACCCCCCGCCCCCGCAAAACTAGAAAATTAGACACCATGAAAGCTTAACTAAAAATTCAAGCCACAACTAAAAGTGCTCTGCAGTTATAAATTGCCAGCAAACCGTTAGGTTTTCATGGAGGCGGCAAAGTAAATTTTACTTAGAATGGCATAGAAAGCATCAGCAGAACAAACACTGACTAGAAGAATGCAAAAGAAAAAAAAAGCACTAAAAAAGTGTACAAGGGTTTAAAACCAACGGGGAAAAAAGGTGCAATTGTAATTTGTTCATCTGTACCTATATTCAAACTATGACAGCTTTAACATTAGAAAATCAAAACCTATATCCTGCATGGTAGAGATGATTTGTGGCATGGTATGGGTCTATATGTTCAATTATTCTAACTTTCATCACTTCAAAATGCTAATATTTAAGTAAACCAAATTAGATTTGGCATAACGCCTCTGAAAGTTACGACTCCCACCTCCTTTCAAAGTTGGCCTCTTAAATAATAAGGTTAATTCTGGCAACATTTGCATATGGTAACAGCTGTTCTGTCTTGTGTTCTGAAATGCTACATTTTGAGACCAAAGAAAAGTGTAATTGGGTCATCTGAAAAAAGGGACTAGAAATATGCCACAAAAATTATTTTACAATACATTTTTGCAGAAATAATCTCTAGGTGAAGCTTTGTCTTTTTATACACATATACAAAATTTAAACAGCAATATACACATAATCACAGTGAGGACGTTGGCAAATTCACCAATCTGTAGTGTAAATACAAACTGCAAAGCAGCCTTCCAAGAGAACAATGCTACACAGCAAGCAGAGCTGGCCCATTCAATAGCAAACACCAAGACGTCCCTGCCAAAGGGAGACAGTGCAAGAAAGCAGCATGCGCTTGGACACAAACAGCGGTTTATGGCTAACGGCTGACATGACTGTGGTAACAGTGACTCTCTCGCTGCTATGCATAAAGTCCTAGGACATCTGTTTGTCTTTATACCACTCCACAAACTCGTCCAACAAAACTGGCCCTGAAGAGAGAGAGAGAAGAGAGGGAGGGAACAACACAGCTATGAGACTTGTCATGACAAGGCTGAGGAGCAAATGTGCGGGGGCGGGGGAAAGCGATGCCCACCCAGTACTTACATGCTCCATCTTCATCGTAGTTGCTGAGGTCAAGGTTAATTGTTCTGCTAAACTCTAGCACATTGCACCACTGGTCTTTATTAATAACTTTATATTTTGATTGCTGGTGAGGGAAAAATAACATGAATTACTTACACAACAAGTCAGTTTCAACTGCTGTGACAATCAACTTGAAGGTTAACACTCACGAAGGTTAACACTTTCCATTTGTGGTGTGTTAGGCACCATTCTAGGAGAAGGCTGAGAGACAGCGAGAGGGTAACTTTGGATGACAATTTTCATTACAAAAATATTATGGGGGCTCAACATAAAACAACAAATGCATCAAAGAAACACAACTTTACATCCCTAGAAGTGAAATTTCTAGATGGCGAAAGTCCTTTTATGTAAAAGAGGGATAATATCCATTTCACAGAGATGTGGTAAGGATTAAGACAGATAATGTCTGTAATTTATGAAAAGCACTTTACTGTGTGGCACACAGTAAGTGCTAAATAAAGAGCTGCTCCCATTAACAGGCCCTGACGTGAACATCATGCTTCCTGTCAAGCTGTCAGCTAACAGCATATGCCGCTGCGGGTTTACTCAACGAGACGGTGCTAAGTGCTGCAAGCAGTCTCGGGACTAGGAGGCCCAGCCACTGAAGAATTAGTGTCCTAATAATTGAAAACTTGCGTCTAATCATACAAGGACTAAGAACAGCCATGAAGCAGTTTTTCTCTTCCCCCCAGACAAGAAAAAGGCCACATGCATATTCAAAATACAATATTCCTGTATAAAGATCTAAAAATAAAACCCAGTCTGATAATTCTTAAATCTTTGCCACTAAAATCGGGAACACTGGGAAACAAAACGAAAGCAAAGAGAGTTGAGCCAATGGTTTGGAGGATGCAAACACAAGAACAGCTCAAGTAAAAGGATTACTGGGTCCCTTTAAAAGAAAAATGCAAGCTGGTGTGAGACAGAGAACAAAGCACAGACTACAAGTGCAGCTTTCTAAGCAACTAAAAGCAAAACCCAGTCACTGAAAGCTGATGGTGCCCCTCGAACCGTGTGAAGTCAAATCAGCTACAGAAGGACCTTCACACCCGGCCTTATATTCTGCCCAGCCTCCTGAGATCAGGAGCCCATTGTTACTCACTTTTCAAATAAAGCTAACATTTCTGAGGGTTGTTAGAGAAACTGGAAGAGATCACTGGTAAATACGGGCTGTCATGTAAACAAGTGCTTCTTATATTAAAAACTAGTTTTCATACCTTTCTTCAGGAATCCCAGTTAGTAATGTTAAAAGCAAATTTTAATAACAGTTCTCAAAAAACCCTATCAGTTGGAAGTTTTTCTGGACCATTACACCAACAAGTTGTAAGGAAGATTATTTCAAGAGTGAAGCTAGAGTCAGGGTAAAGTCCAGGATTTTCTCCAAGATCCAAAAGCCTCATCCTTTCAAGCAAAAAGCAATTTTTAAAGGGGTTTGAGGACTGGAGGGCAAGAAGGAGGCTATATATGACAACCCAAGTAACTCAGACTTCCATCTCAGGTTCTTCCAGGTCTTAACAGTACTATTACATTGGCATCAGAGACGGTTCCTAATAACCAGCAGCTCAGAATTTCTCTCATTAATACTTAGAGCAAACAAACGATAACAATGGAGGGAAGTGCTGGGTTATTTCGAACACAAACGTGAAGAAAATTTAAACTGCAGGAGATACCAACTGAAGGAATTGGCCACTGAGACTGATCTAGGTCCCCAAGGTGCTTGGAGGTGAGAGTAGTTAAGGACATGTTACAGACTGAACTTAAGAGAGTGAATGGTTGTTCTCTAACCTTTGCTTCATCAAAGTAGAACTTCATCTAAAGCCACAAAATAAGGTAAATCTTGTTTTACTCTTGTTATAAAAAGCAGGACACCTAAACACAAACAAAACTTTTAAAGGGGGGACGAGAGAGGAGAGGCCAGAGCTGCGCTGGCTGGAGCATTTGCAGGGGGCCAGGGGCATGTGCAGTGCACACACGGGGACGCGCGGGGCTCGGGGATGTGTGCCCAGTGGCAGTAAGTATGTCGCCACTTCCTACAGGCAGGGAAGGAGACAGACAGAAAGGTACAGAAAAGGGTCAAGTAAAGGATACTTGGTAGTTCTAAGCAAGCAAACACACATTCGACAAAGTAGCAATTTAGTACCTCTAAGAACTGGTGAAAAACTGGAAAAAGGGGCCAGATTTTTCCTAGTAACAGTCCCAACATGCACTTGGCAGTGTTTATGTCTAGGCTTCGCTGGTCCTTTTCCTGTTTAACAAACAAAAACAAGGATGAGCCAGGTGCCCCCAAACAATCAGTTTCAACAATCCAAATTCCTATTTCACTTCAGTGAGGAATTAGTAAACAGCTCCTGTATCATATACCATAAAAACCTGAATCAAGACTAAGGTAGGAGGAGGGGAGGTGGTCTATACTTGTACTGTAGAATTTTACTGTGAGAAAGATTCACATCAATTGAATGATCACCCTAATCTATGATTATTTCATGGGATATGTTTGTCATCTTTGATTATTTCTTGGGATAAATAAAAATCCGTAACTCAATCACTAGCTGTTTGACATTTATGATTATTATTGACATCATAACTACTGGTCCCCAAAACTTATAACTTAACTGAATAGAGTTTAAAGGTTTCAAATTTCATGCTTAGGAATCAGGTTTCCTTGAAAAAAAATCTTTCTTCCACCAATTTTATTTCACTGGTAAATGTTTTTTTGGTACCTAAAAATGATGGAATTCAATGGAGCTCATAATGAACATTGGGGCTCTGGAGACTCTCCCATCCCCCACCCTGGGGGAAAGCAGTATGCCCACCTGTCTACCTGCTTCATGCTGCTTACCTTATATTTGCTGCAAGCGACATCTAGAAGAACACCCCTAACTAACAGCCAAGTGAAAGACAACACTGCATGGGGAATCCAGAAAAGACACTTACATAAACCTGAATGTGGGCAGATTAAGCTCCTTCTACTTAAATTTACAATTAAAAATGTTAATTTCTCACTGATCTTTCTTATAAGATTCCATTTGGGAACTAAAAAGTGGGCAGGTTGTATGTAAAAGGACAGAGGACCTGGGATCTTGAGTGGTAACCTTAGACATCAAATGCTAGCTAGCCTCCTCCTGATACCTTAGTTTCAAAGAAAGTTTGCAAAAGTATCTTTCTACAAAGGGAGAAAGTGCCTGGCTGTTTCATGTGGAGTGGAATCTAAATGTTCACCAGATTAAGGGAGGATGCATGACCCCGTGCGGGCCACATATGCAGCCACAAATACCTCCTGATAAAACTGTTACCTCAAGGATTCTAACAGTGAAGTGCTCTTGAGTACAAGGAGAATTTCTGGCCCTGACACTGATTTTAAAGTAAAGGACTTAAACAATACAGCAAACGTAAGTGCCTCACTCAATAGCCAACAATGGAGATGTGCGGCGGGTCTGCCTTTCGGCCCCAGTTGTGAAGCACAACGACCATGCAACCACAGGCCAGGTCAGATGGCTCTCAGTTAGCCAGCCCTGTCCTGGCCACACAGCTTAAGCCTGAGGAGGGCTCCACAGTTCAGGGCAAGGAGGGGCCTGCCCTCCCTGCCCACGTGTATCGCCCTGCTCAGGGGTGCAGGGCTCACTCCGAGGAGAGGACGACAGTGGGCACGGAGCCCTCGTGGGGGCCCCCTCCTGCCCCCGGGCCTCACAGTGTGGTGCACTGCATGGCTCACACTTCTGCAATGCACTGTGCAAGCAAACAGAAGACTTCCTCTTGTCCTGTCACGTGGGTGCAGCAGCAGCATACCCCGCTTTGGAGCACCCTCCGCAGTCCCATGGAAGAAAACCAGGGGCCTGCTGAAAACACACGCGGCTCCACAGGACCGGGCCCCAGTTGAACAACAGCTCAGGCAACGCTGGCTGAGGGCATGGACGCTCTGGAAATGCTCTCCCTCTGAGGAGCCTGTAGTCGTTCACTAGACCTAAAGTCGCCAGTCTTGCCCTGATACACACTGTGCCTTCTTCCAACACCATCCACATCCCCATCACAATGGACATACACTAAGGTGACAGAAAAGAAGATACAGAGGACCTGGACAGACTCTTGGAAACAGTGCAACCATCTGACAAACTGGTGATCATGAAGGATTTCAATGCATGTGTTTGGCAGCGATGCCAAAACATGGAGGGAAGGCATCCGACTCACAGGGCTGGAAAGCCGAACAGCACTCACTCACTCCTGCTCTGCCAGGGTGCCAGCCAGCAGCTCGCAATCACTAACACCATCTTCTGCCTAGCAAACAAGAGAGAGATATTACGGAGGCACTCGCGATCCAAACAGTGGCATCTCGCTGATCACCAGTGTGGCCTGGGGGGGGTGAGGCTAGGTGCAGATGACCATGACTGCAAACACTGCGGATTCCTGGGGCAGCATGACTGAGAGCTCCCAGAGCAAACATCTATGCAACAGCGAAGTGGAGACACGCCGGGGGTTCTCCGACAGTGATCCTAATGGCACTCGCAAAGGTGTTCCCGACCAATGAACTGAATCTCCCAGGATGCTATGAAGCAGCCATAAACACTGAACGTTGTTTTTTTTTTTTTTTTAATCACCGTAACAAATCCAAGGAATACGGCTAGAAACATCTAGAAGCCCTTCGAAGGAAATTCAAATAGTACACAGTCAACACTGACCCTGTGACTCTGCTTGTGGAGTATCAGGGTGCGAGAGGCAGACTTTGGCATCTCAATACACAAATAACAATGTTTTTGCAAGGCAATTACTTAATTAAGCTCAACTACTGACACTTCCTTTAAAACATAAAGAAAAAAAAAGATCTGTCAACTGGCACAGTTTTTACACAGTCATTTTATTTGGTATAGATTCTATTATTGTACTCTTAGAAGGTAAGATATTATCTGAAACCTGAGGTTTGTGTGTGTTAGTTGCTTAGTCGTGTCCAACTCTTTGTGACCCCATGGACTGTAGCCTGCCAGGGTCCTCTGTCCATGGAATTCTCAAGGCAAGAATACTGGAGTGGGTTGCCATTTCCTTCTCCAGGGGATCTTCCCGACCCAGGGACTGAACCCGTGTCTCCAGGCAGATTCTTTACTGTCTGAGCCACCAGGGGATTACAAGCACCTAAGTAATGTCAATGAAGAAAAATTCAACCACTGTTTCTAATTTTATGGCTAACTTTTATTGAGAACTGAACCAGCAACTGTTTTAAGTGCCTTATACTCAATACTCACGTAATACGAGAGGCTATTACTATATGCCTATTACAAGAGGCATTATTATAATCCCCAATTTATAAATAAGGAAACCGAGGCACAAGAGTTAAATGACCTTGATAAGAACTGGGTCTGAACCAGGAGACTGATTCCAAACCTGAGCATTTCATCGTGTACCCATTTGCCTCCATCTCAGCTCTTCAGAGTTCAATTCACTTTACAAACAACTGCTGAGCAAATTGAGGCAATAACCAGAGGGTGACCTTAAAGGTAAAGCCGACAAGATGTTCACAGTAACGAACCTGGGATTAAATGACCACATATTCCTCCTACTTTTGTCCTCACCCATGCCTGCCTTCTGTCTTCCTCATAATTTACAGTAAAAGTATAAGGAAGAAGTAGCAAGGAGTGGGTGTATGTCTGGTGTGTTGTGAGTTGTATGGAGAGGGAAATCAGACAAACACATTGGTTAAGAAACAAGAACTGACTCAAGTTAGAAGAGGAAATGAATCAAATGGTCACAGCAGATCTCCGGTTAAAGCTGGACAGAGTTCTCTGATAACAGGGTGTTGAACATTAAGACCCAACAAATTTTCCTCAGCACACCCTATGAGTGACATCCACAACCATTCCACTAAATGGAAGTGACTAGGACATTAGCTCTAACATGTGACCTGAAACACCTCAAAAACTAAATAAAACCACTCGCAGTTGGAAAAGTTGGGTGCATCATGGGACAGGCTGTGAGGACTGACTTCTGACAACAGATTAACCATCGCAGGATCACCTCTCAAGAAGGCGGGATTTCCACTAGTACCTTCTGCCTCCACAAAACCCTGCAATACAACTTCTTAAAGCTTCACTGCAAGGGCTGAAAAGCCAGGACTCGCCCCTAAAGAAATCTCCCATTCTTTTCTTGCTCACTGCCCTTCTTCTCTCTCACCCCACAAAACCCCCCTTCTACCCATCCAGAAGCCTCTCTGCCTCAGTCACTCAGAAGGGCTGCACTCAGCTCCCATCTCCCCACCGAGCCTAGAAACTTCCCTCCGTCCTCCCCGTCATTCTCACTTTCCAGCACCTAGGCTGTGGGAAGACCTCCTAAGAGTGGGCCATCAATTCATGGTGTCAACTCTCAGCCAGGCTAAGATGCTGTTATTCTCAGCACCTCACTCAGCCCAACATTCACCCTTCTCAGAACCCCAAGAGGCAACTCCTTTTATGGCTTTCAGCACAGTACCTTGTCTTTGCCCCAGAGAATACAGAAAAAGCAAATTTAACTGATATTTAATAACCAGCATCAGAGCAACCAAAAAATCAATCTATTTAGTCTTTTATCTCATTCTCTTTGTTCCATCTTATTCTCACTAGGTCCTTTTAAAGGAATCAAGCCAAAAATGACTGTTTTACTTAAAGGAATCCACAACATTTGTTTATGCAATAAAATTTATATTAGGCAAAAAAACACTAAGCATAAAAATATTCAAGACAAAATTCCCCTTGCAGAAGGAACTGGCCATTTCAGGCCAAGTCTCTCTTCCACCACCTCCCTGGAACAGGACCCCCCGGACGGTGACAGTCTGAGTCAGGAAGGCGGTGTGGCTTAGGGACAGAGCCGAGGCCCTCAGTCTCATTGTCTGCACGGTGACAAGACTGAACCAGTGTCCTCCACAGCTTCTCGCAGCTCCAAAGCGGCGCGATTCTCTGACGTCTGTAAGACTATATGTAAGCTCAAGTCAAAGTAAACTTGCGAGAAAAATAATGTGACTTTATAATCAAGTGCTATTTTTAATCGGCTACAAGGTTCTAAGGTGAGGGAGAAAACAAGCATGCCCTTAGGACTATAATTTTGGTGGAGAGATGTTAAAAACGGGCATTTTATCTTTTCCTAGTGTTGTCTATAGTTTCTTCTCAGGTATATTAAAGGGTGAAGTCAAGTGTAAGTTGCTCAGTTGTGTCTGACTCTTTGTGACCCCATGAATTGTAGCCCACCAGGCTCCTTTGTCCATGAGGATTCTCCAAGCAAGAATAGTGG